GAGACGAGTAACCACTCTAGTTGCGCTAGCGAGAGGCCGACCTCCTCAGCTCTCTCTCTCTCTCTTTCTCTCTCTCTCTCTTCTCACGAACTACCCCCCTGCGCGAGAATCGATTCTCTTTTGGCGACGTGACAGACCTGCTCTACTTTTTCCACTCTTTCTCTCTCTCGCTCGCTCGCTCGCTCGCTCGCTCTTTCTCCATCTACTCGTCTCTACGAGTCTCGTCCTTCTTCGACGTATCTCTCCGTTCACGAGGGTATTGGGGAAGAGGAAGGAGTCCGAGTACACCTGTGGTGATCAACAACAGCAGCCACGCGACAGCAGTCACCGTCGCAAATCACGACTTATGCGTCTGTACCGAGCAGGTAACCCTCCCGTTTCCGGTATCACGCACTTCCACGGAGGGAATTATTCCTCCTCAACGATCACCACCTCGCGGATTGGGTTAACCGAGATTTGCTATTTAGATTAGCGCCGTGTAAGTTCCGTTACCAGAGAATGAGAAGGTGAAAGTTTCTGCGAAACTCCATGCATAAACCAGGTATCAGATCAGAGGATAACGTTCCGTCAATGAATAGTCGATTTGCTTTGTAAAGAATTTTTGTATTGTTAAATCACAAGTGACAGCACCTGAATTATCATCTCAATCAATTCTTGCAATTTATCTTTAAAAATATGCGATATGTCTTTGAAGGTACGTAAAGTTTAGCCTGTCTTAAGAGCTCCTGGTCCTATCTTGATGGTAGACGCCTTGAGGTGTCTTAACAGTAGCCACGAAAGCACCGCTTATAGCACGGTAAATGGAGCGCGAGAATCAATATTAATAATGCACAGTTATTGTAAACAACAGGCATTGGCTGCAATCGGGTGCAGAATTACATATCACTTACATACTACGAGTGAAAACACGAGCCTCTGTGAATCATGTTCTCAGACACCTTGACTACTAAATCAATAGCACGTCCCTCGAGAAGTATTGTTATTCGCAACATTACGAGAGAAAGAACGATATTTTAAATACTCGTTACAACCGTTGAATTAAGTGAAATAATTAAAAACGAATAAGAGAAACAACAATCCCTCACTCCAATCTTACGAGGAGCATATCGAATCTGTTGTTACGAAAAATTATCTTATTGTTATCGTAGCAAGTATCATAATTTCAGGAATATAAACAGCATTTGATCGATCGAACGAGTACGTCCGGAGAAATCCAAACAAATCGAATTACATCGCATAAGATGTTTTGCCTGGCAAAACAGCTTATTGGACAAACTTTCGTACTTCGAGCGAATCTTCATTTATCGCGACTGCATTTGTTCGATTATCGACAGAGAATCAAATCCGCTCATTGCAAATCTCATTTCCGCAATCTTCAAGAGGAACATTCAATCCGCCTCAGCGACTTTCGCTATCATGTTCCTAATACGGTTCGCCCCGCGCAAAAATCACCCGGATGATCGTTAGCATCGTAGCCAAATAAAAACGTAGACCATTCCGATGATCGGCCACGAAAATTATCCTGAATTTCATTCCCATGATCCCGCATTTTCCGTGAACGCTTTTAGCAGACCACTAACTCGCATGGCCGAGACCAGGCTGCAAGACTCATCAATTTTTCTTCGTATTCAGAATATCCTCAATCCTGCAATTGAAATGATTCCGAGAAGATCGAGGTTACGGGAAAAAGCAATAAGAAATAACATTATTTTAATTAGACTAGTCGTGTAATTAAAGTTGAATAGACAAACTCTAAACAAATAATTGGTTTTAAACTCTAAAAATAATTTCTCAAATTGAAGTTTTATTACTTTTTCTAAAATTTAATATAAAAGAATTAAATTTTCTCATACATTAAGAATAAGTTTACTATAGATAAGTTTTTTTTTAATTTTCAAGATTTCAATTTTTTTTATGTTCTTTAAATACAAAATAATATTTCCAATTTTAATTGAAAACAATGTAATTCATAAAAAAGTTCGATCAATTGATTTCAAAACTGTTTCGTCTTTACAGAAACATCCAGGATATCATCCAGAAGAAAAGGATCGGCGTGTAGCAAAGGCGGCGGCGACAGTAGGACACTATTATCTGACCAGCGATCATCAAACGGCAACACCATCACCACCCACGATCATTTGTTTTCGTGCGACGAGTTAACCAGCGAGTTAACGTCGATATCATTACCAACCTGGTACCAACGACTGCCAGGTTTTCTTAGGGCGACAAGCGACGGACAGGCAGCGTGTATGATCATTGAGGACTATCCCCCTACCCCACCCGCCAAATCAAGGCAACACCCGAGGCATCAAGATATCACCCAACGATTCCTAAACCTCCACCTGGTCCTGCCTAAGCACAGGGCCTCAAAATTTTCCAGGTTTGTGAGTCAGTCTGGTTAGTGTCAATCTTTTTATTCCATTTTCATACACAGAACGAAACATAATTCGAGATTCAAAAACATATGATATAGAATAAAACCAAATGATTCAAACTAGAATATGGATCAAAAACTTTTTGACTATTTATCTTAATTTTTAAACGAACAAAATAAAATTAATAATTAAATAAATTTTCTTGAAAACAATAATATGAAAAGGTGCTAATTTTTGCTCAAATTTAAAAGTCTAAGGAAAGTTTATAGGTGTGAAAAGAGATTAAATTTAAATTTATAATGAAATACCTAATAATTTTCTTTAATTTAGTCATTGGTTAAAATTAAATATTAAAAACAGGTTATTCGGATTATTGCAATGTTAAAGCTTTTTTCTCTTTGCAGTAATAGGCATCGGAAGCTACAGCCATTCAGAGAAACGTGACTGGCGTCAGCGGGTAGCGGCGCGGCACGCCTTACCGCTAATAAGAACTACAACCCTGAGAAGAGGCAGAACCACCCTGACTCGATACGCTGTTGTTACGCTGAGCTACCACGAGCAGGTAGCATCCATCGCCTGCTATCGGCCACCGCCAGCTACCAAACTGCCGCTGGCTGGAAACGTGCGACAGAGGGGATCTAGAAGAACCAGGACGAAGACGTTGCCCACCTGAAGAAGAAGAGAAAAAAAGATTGAAAAGATCAACGTCACACGAAGAGTGTTTAAGAGCCAATCTTTTCGTCGCGATTCGTTAATACTTTCACAACGACGTCTCGTCGGAGATCATTACTGATCGGAGAAGTTAAGTTTGTTAAAAGCAAGAGAAGACGAAAACATCGATTACCATGGGGAGCGTGAACGTTAATCGCAATGTTAGCGACGCTTTCTATCGCTACAAGATGCCGCGGATCCAGGCGAAGGTGGAAGGCAAAGGGAATGGTATCAAGACAGTTATCGTAAACATGGTAGACGTGGCGAAGGCGATCGGTCGTCCGGCTACCTATCCGACCAAATACTTCGGTTGTGAGCTAGGCGCGCAGACGCAATTTGACTTCAAGAACGAACGTTTCATCGTCAACGGCTCACACGATGCCACGAAACTGCAAGACTTATTGGATGGTTTTATCCGAAAGTACGTTCTTTGCCCGGCTTGCGATAATCCGGAAACCGAACTAATGGTCAGCTCAAAAAAGGGAACGATCTCGCAGGGCTGCAAAGCCTGCGGGCATCATGGTCTTCTTGAGAGCAATCACAAGTTGAACACGTACATCTTGAAGAACCCGCCGAGCTTGAATCCGGCAGTGCAAGGCAGCTCATTGACAGAGGGTAAACGCGGCAAACGAGGCTCGAAACGCGCCAATGGCGATGCTGCTGCTACAGTCACCAGTACCGCTGCCACCACTAACGGCAATGATCGATCCGGTTCCCCGGAAAATGACGTCAACAACTCAGGAGACATCGTAGTAGAACCACCGCCAGAAAGAACAATCAATAACGATGGAGATGACGATAAATGGGCGGTAGACGTATCTGAGGAAGCGGTCAGAGCTCGTCTCCAGGATTTAACAGACGGAGCCAAGGGTATGACCATCAGCGATGATCTTGACAAAAGCGAGAAGGAGCGCATGGATATGTTCTACAAACTGGTCAAGTGCCGTCGCGATGCCGGCCAGCTCGATAACAATCACAAAGAGCTTGTGGCTGAGGCGGAGCGTCTCGAAATTAAAACTAAGGCGCCATTGATTCTCGCCGAGTTGTTGTTTGATCAGGGAATCGCCGCACAAGCGAAGAAATATCGGGTGTTATTGCTGCGTTTTACTCATGACGACATCAAAGCGCAAAAATATCTGATCAGAGGAATCGAGCAAGTGATAGCGCTGCATAAGGATGCATTAATGCCGAAAGTTCCCGGAATTCTCAAGGTAAAAAGATATATTTTTTGAAGATTGTTAGAAAATAATTTAACGAAGAAATTCAATTAGAAAATATCGGTAATTGAAATTTTTTAATAACATTTAAATTATTCAATTATTGAAAATATTTACATGCATTCCAGTTATTTTACGATGCTGATATCTTGGAGGAGAAAGCGTTTGACGAATGGTCAAGCAAAGTTAGCAAGAAATACGTTTCAAAAGACTTGTCGCAAGAGATTCACGATCGAGCCGCACCATTTTTAACATGGTTAAAAGTTGCAGAAGAAGAGGAATCTGAATCTGAGGAAGAAGACGATGATGTGCAGGTAAACATTTTATTGCTCATAAAGTTTTTTAAGATAAATGTTTAAAAATTTAAGTAATTCAATTTTATAATTAACCTTCTAATTTTTAAGTAATTCAATTTTATAATTAACCTTCTAATTTTTTCATTAATTTTTTATTAAATATGTAACAATTCTATTTTGAAAGAACTCAAATATGAATCAAAATGGCTTGAAGAGTCATAATCATCTTGTTTTTTTCAAAATAATCTCCGTCGAATTTGTTTATAGACTTCAAAACAGACTGTTCTTCTCCATTATCTGCGGCCTTGAAACTATTTTCATTATAAATATGTGTATTTAGCTTTCAAACGCATACATGGGCATTTCAAACTTTTCATTTTAGATCGAATACGATGATAGAGCCAAGCAAGAATCCCTGAAACAACAACAATCGCCGGCCGCGCCGAAGCCTGCCACCGCTACCACTGTTGCTGCCGCCGGAAACAATGATTCCGACGGAGATGACTTCGATATCGATGCCATTTAAAACATATGCATATACCACATGTATCACACACACACACACACACACACACACACACACACACACACACACACACACACACACACACAATATGTATACAGTCAATCGCGACGAATGACAGAAATACTGGTTCGAGCTATAATATCCGAGACGAATATTCATTTTTCTCTCGAACAGGATCGTGCAAATGCAATCTCAAGTTATACGCAAATAGATATAGGATTTTCGTTGTTTTAGGCTGACGAGAGCGATATAATTAAACAATGCCGTTTACACATGCGAATAAAAAAAGGAAAAAAAAGAGAAAAAGAAATTTTAACCGTTCCTAAAAGTTTAGCGTGATTTATCTGTGTACAGTATATTCACAATACTTTTAATTGTTTTAACAATGCAAATGTGCATTTACTGAAAGATCGTAATTTCCTTAATATTGATCGATTATCGGAATTTTTTAATGAATGTAATGATGCACATATATTTTGTAAAATGCATCCGTTTCAGGCAAAGACATTTTCATAAAAGTTCATAAGCATTACTGGGATTGGCCTGCTAAAAGCGTTCTTTATTGTATTTACTTATTCTAATTATTATTATTCAAATAAATATGGTTTATTGCAATGATCATCCACCGTTGCTGATTTTTTATACTCCACATCTAAAAAACGCATGTTAAGTCGATACTCGTATCTCTTGAAGTTTATTGTTGTCTCTTTTCCATGTGATGTCGATTGATTCTCTCACTACAATTATTTTGTAAACAATTATTATTGCAGAGATCGTTTTGATAGTTGCGTATATTGTGCCTATCAAGGAGTTAATACAGTAATAGTATTATTTTAATTTCTGCTCCTTCCGTTTGAAAAAAATAAACAGCGCACGCATAGCGTGTAGTGTCTGTGATATATAATAATAGTTAATATAATTTTATATATATGTATTTTTTTCTTCGTTGTTATTTTCAAATAATCTGTCTTTAGATTATGTTATGTATATATCGCAGTTAACACGGTTGATACGACGTGGCAGCACTATCAACATGTTTATCACATCCGAGCATTAAATGTTTGTAGTTGAAATTGTTCAAACTATATTTCAGCTGCTGAAATGAGAATATATCTATCGCTAGAATTACTTGTTTTAGCAATACGAAAAATTACATCTTAATATAATCAGCGCTGGCATTATATTTCGGAACACAGCTCAACACAGCTATCGGCTTGCCGGTGTTTCCCGTGAAAAATTCTGAGAGAGACGAGGAACGCAATTGTTAGGATAAAGGAGACAAAATTTGAATAAAGAAGGTAAATAAAAAGTTTTAATAAATTGGCATTTATGTATTATAGGATTTAAATGTCACTGGATCAATGTATAATTTATATTATTTATTTGGCATTATTTAAATATTTTTTTAGAAACAAGTGGAAAAAAAAGAAATGTGAAATAAATCCTTTAAGATGCATTTCATGAAATAATTATATTTTCTTTTGCATTGATAATTCTATAATTATTTTAAAAATTTTGTATGTGTAATTAAGAGCAAAATGTTTGTTTAGTTATGATGTTGGAAAGTTAAAATACATTTGCAGCCAGCTTTTTTCTCTCTAGTATTTAATCTAGTTGGCCAATCATTGAAAGTGCAGCAAGAATTGTGATGGAAGAAATTCTATATGAATGTAGTTTTTTGTCACACTTAAATCAAATAACTTTATTTTTATATTCTATCGATAAAAAAAATAATGTATTTCGATTTCTATATGATAACAAGAGAGTCTGGTGAAATGTCAAATTCTGATTTTATTGATTTTGTGTACATGTAGATTACATAAATAGATGAATTTGAGAATATCAGAGAGTTGCAGCTAAAAAGTGATTTTTAGGAATGAAACCATCCATTATAAGTAGATTTTAGCTTTTTATTATATTTTAAAAACTATTCAAGGTATAAAAAAAATTTTATATAAAAATTTTATAATAATATCTCTATTTATCCACGTAAAAGAATTTTGAAAATTTTTGGAATTATTTTTTGAAAATCTTATTGACATGAATAAATAAAGTTTAACTAATTTTATTATAAATTGTATAAAACATTTTAAATAGTTTTTGAAATATAACAAAGAAATTTAAAGTCCGCTTTACTTAAAAGCATGCTTTTCTCTAAAAGTTATTTCTGAAAACCGTTTTTTAGCTGCATTTATGATAATCATTTCGAAAATTATTTATTTATGTAACTTTTTATACACACACACTACACACACACACACACACACACACACACACACACACATATATATATATATATAGTTTTATTAAAATCAGAATTTGACATTTCATGACGTTTAGAGAAAATGGTATACAATTATACATTAATTAAAAATAAAAAATGCAAAATTAAAAATGTAAATTTTATATAACTATGCATTAATTAAAAGTTTAAACAAATTTTTTATTTTTTTTACATTCCGTCTTTTGTTTAAGCAATTACTTTAATGTTATAGAATTTCTGGTTGAAAAAAAGAAATAATAATTATACATTTACGTTTGATATTATTACACATTTTCACATACTTTGTTTTATATCATTGTTTTATATCATTAATCATTTTTTAATTGTATTATATTATTGTATTGTATTATTGTATTGTATTATATTTAATTGTATTATACTTGATATATACTTTTTGTATATACACATAATACTATTTATATATTTTCTTATATTTGAAATTATCTGCTATAATCTCTTTATTTTTAAATTAATTTATCAGGTTATTCAAGATGGATCTCAGTCACGACTTTTGCCATATTATTAGAGCACTCTTCAAATATGTAGAGCGAAGCTACGGCTATTTACCATATTACGCAGATAGAACTACAGAGGAAATTTCACGTACTATTGACAAAATAATAGATACTTTTCTCCAAGTTATTCCAAGATACATGTTCAATGTTAAAATATTCACTGACGCCAATTTTAAAATATTCACTGACGCCAGTATCCAAGTCGCCAATATCCAAGAATACAATGACATTGTGATAATGCGATCTGCTATATATTACCAATGTCTTCTTTTGAATACAAATTTTTCTACGCAGCATCTCATCAAGGAGGATCCGATATATGGCGTTATAGTTGAAACGTGCCCTACTCTATCATCATATCTCTTTATACAAGTAATTTATTAGTAATAATCACATAGTAATAAAAATTATCAATAATTAACAACATTATTAAAAATTAATTTTTTCTAATCATAAATAGAATATATTGAATATTTTTAAATATTGATTTTTTTTTAAGTCAACTTGCGTGCATACGTTTGTGTGCGTACGTGCGTTTCATATTTATAACATTATTGTATTATTATTATTATTATTATTATTAATATTTATTATTATTATTATTATATATTTATTATTATTATTAATATTATTATTATTGATATTATTATTAATTTAATTTCTATTTCTATTTATATATATAGCTAATATTGAATATTAGGTGCGAGGACATATTGGTCGTATCGCTTGTGCATATACCGTTGGATTTATGTGTAGAGATTTTGGATTTAATAATTACATCCATTAACGATCTAGAAGCCTCAGAAGCCATACGTCTTATTTTCCTTCTGATTTACAATGTGTACTACAAATGCCTACAACTACATTTAGGCACGATATCGGAACAGGATGTGGGAGAATGCATCCATAAATTAACAGAGCAATTTTATACATTGTTAAACTTGCTCATCGTCAAATTCGATTCTTTCTACACATTATCTACTACAAAATTTTTGCACCTTGGTATTTTCACGAAGATTACGCTTCGCTTTATCAAAAAGTGTATGCATAGTAAGATTGAAGATTTCTCCATGCATCGCGATTTAAAACCGCTCTTTAGAATTACATACGGTATTTGTAATGGACAATGGAATTATCATCACATAATTCCCGCCGACAAGATGAGGTCCATTATAATCCAGTTTGACCAGCAATTAGCCAATCTGCTTCAGAATGTGCTTGAAAGAGTTGATCATTTCAAATTCATGATTTGGGCGAACATCATGGATAATGAAAACGTTATAATTTCAGTACAACGCGCTGTCATCATTGAATGCCACTATTTTATGAAATTTATAAAACAGAATAATTTTTTTGAGATAAACGACCATCTGTTCCACTGTCTGCAACAATTTGTTGGTCCAAGAAAAACCGAGCAATCTCTTTTAACTCTTGAAGAAATCTGTCGTGACATCACTGAAGGCAGAATGCAGCAAGATGCTATGAGAGAGTTGCTGAAACGCTATAAGAAATGGGACTTGTCTATATTGGATTTTATTAATAAGAAAATAGAATTGTTAAAATTGCAGGACTTCACGACTATAGTTGAATATCTTCATTATAAGTTTGCATATTTGCATACTAAGGCGGATAAGTACCGACTATACATATCGGTACTGAAAATATTACTTCGGCAATCTTATGGTATGAACCATACTGTACTATTATATGTGTCGCGGCACTTTGATGATAATAATTTAGCATTTCTGTACGATGAAGAATGCTTTTCGAGATTCTTGAACTCTATTCATGATCTAAATAACTTTTCTTGCCGCATCCTCTTAATTTTTATTCTTTTAAATCCCAAGGACGCATTACGCATGTTAATCGTACGTGAGATAGACTGTGAATTTCAGAGCAATGTTTTGTTTCAACACATGCGTTGGTTGCTACCGTATTACAGCGTGAGGATAAAACACTATAACATACTGATATATGTTTTAAAAGATGTACTTTTGCATGGTCGTTGGATATGGCGTCCACATTTCAGAATCTTTATGGATAATTTGCTGTTCTATAAGGTAAGAGTATATATATGTATATATATATATATATATATATATATATATTATTGTAAATAAAATAATTATTATAATGTAAATTTTCATTAATTTATTAAATGTTTATTTTTTGTGTACATGGATAAAATTTTATTCTTTATTCATTATTTATCTTTATATATATTTATATAAATTTAACGTTCTCTCTAAATAATTTCTTTTTATCTATATATTAGATAATCTTTTGATTTAATAAATATTATTGATAATTTTACCGATTTAATAAATACTTTACTAAATCGGTAAAATACTTTCAGAAAAATAAATTTAATAAAATATAATTGTTTAAACGAAAATTTTACAGTTTTAGGAATTAAAAAAGCTTAATACATATGTTATATTTTCTTTCTAGAATTGCAAAATATTGGAATAATTTTTTTATAACTTTTTCCAAAAATACTTAAATCATTTTGTACAATTCTATAGTTTATAATTATTTTTTTATAACTATTATTTCTATAAGATATAAATATTCTATTAAAACACATATTATTAATGATATTCTACTTACTTTTAATCTAATTCTTTTTATAAATTATTAAACTTTATTCATATATGATTATACATGCAAATTCGATTTAAATAATCAAGTTCAACATAAGCTCATTTGTAAATTAATAATTAATCGTAAATCAATTTTCTTATTTATTGTTCAAATAAAGTTTTATCCGAATGTACTGTTAGTGCTGAAATACACGTGTATTAGTCATTTTTATTATTTTCTTATTAATGTTTAGTTTCTAAAATTCTATTTTAATTTCTTATCAACCTTTTTCGTAGATGATAACTGCAGATGATTTAATGAACGAACTCTATATCCCCTATCTAATTGGTGACTATATAGACCAATATAACTTGGACATTTTGCTATTACATATACAAAATGTCTTGATACAAAGAAAACTTTGTACTCCCAAGACAAAATATCTTCTGCTAAGTATGGCATTGGTCAGGACTCTATCACTGCTACGAAGAAATATGACGTTTTCCAATATTGCGGTACATAAATGGATACAACTTATAACTGATATATTACAATATTTATTGCACACATCAAATATATTGACAACACAACATCAAGAGTGGCTGCTACTCTTTATTAACGTAGAGCCGCTCGATATACAAAAAGTGCAACTTGCCGACACGATGGAAATAGTTAATGAATATGAAGAACGTTGCTATACCGTGCATCAACGATTACGCACAAATCCACGGTGCCATCCCAAGTTGCGCAATTTTGTACAATCTTTCAATCTTAAGCGAGAAGACTTTATACGCCATATGATACTGAGTTGTGTCGAGAAGGAATATCACACGTTTGCATTCGAGCTAACGTTCATGTTTTGCGAATACTTCGGTTGGCCTAGTCAGATAATGGCATATGAGACTGTAATGCGCATCACCGCTGAAGCGATACTGATCGTTTTGACGTACATTGAAAGGTTTCCTGAGCACAAATTTTTTATGCTACTGATATCGATCATGGAATTTTGTCAAACAACCGCAACGATCATGACTACCGATCATTACGTAGCAATCCGTCGTATCCTGCTGCAGACTCTGTCCTCTATAAGCCATGCAGTTGACAAAACGGTGTACAGCACTATGTACAGCTATTTGCTCCAACGCATTGAGAATGTGAATCCATATGTACAATTGACACATTACTTCTTTGAACTCAAAAAATGGCTTTTCGTATACCTTTACGGATGCCGGCCCATAATGTCTATGGAAAACAGGTTAATAATAACGTTTCTATTTCCTTTAAATTTAGTTTCTTTTTAATTTACTTTATGAAATATTTCACTGTAGAAAATTCGGAAAAATTAGCGAAGGATTCGAACTCGACATTTTTTTTACGAATCGTAACATTTAGTCTGACCGCGACGGCTCTACGTGATAGTTATTTTCTAAATTTTACTAACTATTTCACCTTACGGTTTTAATATTCCTATATTATTGAAGAGAGAAGAAAATCTGATTTGCAATTATAGTATGTACGAAATAAAATAATATAGAATATAAACAGTACATCATGTTATTTATATATTTCAGGATATATAAATATTCAAATGACAATTTGAGTGAGAAAAACATTATAATGATGTACAAAACGTACATATTCATACACGAGTGTCTCAAGATATGCCACTTTGAATCGCATTGTTACTTCGATCAAATACTGCATACTATATCCAAAACCTTCCCAGAAAATTAGATTGATTTTGATAAAGCATGCAAGTAAGTAAAAAAAGTATTGGCATATCTTATCGTTTTTGAAATAACATTATAGGAAAAAGAATATTGTTTTTTTTATTCAATCAGAATAAATCTCATTTTTCTCTGATATACTGATGAATAAAATATTTCGTTCTTGTCAACGCATTTTTTTCTTTACGCAAAATCGAAGTTTATGCAAATACTTTTTTTATTTTACTTTCTATAGTCTCTGTATACAGAATGTGCGCATAAAGTGTGGTAAGTAAATATTTTCAAACTATTAAAGATAGAGGAAAATGTTATCAAATAGAGTTAAAGTAAATAGGTAAATACTGAAAATAAAACAAATTGAAACAATAATCTATTTTTTATCTATAATCTTAATTAACTTTAAATGATTTTAAACAGCCATATACTATAGTTATAGCTATAGTCGTTGCATTTGTCTTGGTATGAACTACAGTTATGTATATTCAAATATACGCAGTTTTGTAAAAAATATTAGATACTCTTGAAACTTCCTCGGCGCATCCATATAGAAAAAAAAGGAAATACGTCTGAAAAGTGTGTGACTCATAAAACACATTAACTTTATTTAATAATATTTTCTTCTACCTTTAATAAATTTTAAAAATATATATGTTACACTTTATCATGTTTTATCCTGTATAATAGATCATGTTTTATCCTGTATAATAGATCTTTATATGGATTATTTTTTATGGATTATTTATATGGATTATTTTCCAATTATTTCTGTATTATATTCATATACCCTATAATTTAACTAATAATAATTTAACTAATTATTCGCAAAATTATATGTATTTTTGATTAAAATTTACAAATTTATAAATGTTTTCAATAACAAGAAAGAGACAGAAGAGCAAAAACAATTTTTAAAATTTTCTTTCTGTTATTGAAAAGAGATGCGGATGTAAATTTTACCGAAATAAAACTTATTTTTTTTTAAATAAACACTGCATCCCAAAACTTTTAAAATATTTGATCAACTTTACGAAAAAATTTGATTAGTTTTTTTAATTTAAATATCAGTTGCGTTATATAAAATGTTATTTTTAAATATTCGAGTTTAAATTCGAAATATTCGAATTTAATATATATGTGTAATAGATGAGAAAATTTTTCGAGAGAATGTGCAACAAGCTGAGTCGGAGA